AAAAAACCAATAAATAAATAAAACTGACTGTGAATTTTAACTATAGAAATTCATTAAGTTGTATAGTCTTTGGATCTAGTTGATTTCCCTTTTTTCTGTTTCTGTGTGTTTTGTTTTGTTTTCTACACAGGGTTTCTCTGTGTAACTGCCCTAGCTGTCCTGGAACTCGCTCTGTAGACAAACCTCCTCGAGCTCAGAGAGATGGCCTGCCACTGCCTCCTGAGTGCTGGGATTAATGGCATGTGCCACCACTGCCCCATGATTTCCTTTCTTTTTAACATAGAGCCCCTCCCTGACGCTAAAGCCACTGATTATGTGTAAGGTAGCCATGGAACTTCCAGATGACTGTCTGTGTTAGCTAGCCACCAAGCTTCAGGGATCTGCTTATCTCTACCCACCTAACACAGAGGTCACTGGCCTATGCCTCCGTCTCCGGCTTTTGGGTGCTGGGGATCTGAACTCAGGACCTCATGCTTTCGGTATAGCCAGCTTACCAAGTGCGCCATCTCTCCGACCCTTGAATTTATTTTTAGAATAATCACGGTGATGAACTCTCCCCTACCTTCCTCTCCTCTGTCCCTCTCCCCCATCTCCTTTATTCCTTCCTCAGCTCTCTTTCCTTTCTTCCTCTCTCTCCCTCTTACAATTTTCAGCCTAATTATGGTTAACTTTGTTATTCAGCAACTTATTATCCAAGCCCACTGTGAGTCATTATTCAGTCTGGAGGGGAAACACCGATGCTGCTCCTTCAATTTAATGCTCACCTAGTTCATTTAATTAGCAGTAAGTTTGGGGGCTGGAGAGATGGCTCAGTGGTTAAGAGCATTGCCTGCTCTTCCAAAAGTTCTGAGTTCAATTCCCAGCAACCACATGGTGGCTCACAACCATCTGTCATGAGGTCTGGTGCCCTCTTCTGGCCTGCAGACATACACACAGACAGAATATTGTATACATAATAAATAAATAAATATTTTTAAAAAAATTAGCAGTAAGTTTGGCAAAACAGTGGAGTTTGTGGGGTCCTGGCTGCTGGCTAGGTAGGTAGGAGACTGCGCGCTGCTCTTGAAAAGATGGGCAAAGTCTTGACAGAGCAAGGAAAGTGACAGAGGACACTTATCAGTGCACTGGATAGAACTTCTGTTGAGTCCAAGGAAGCCTCGAAAGCAAAAGACTGGAGATTACATCAAAGGGGAAGCACCTTAAGGACCACTTAGTAAGCACCTGTGCTGCAAGCCAGCTGCTACACAGCTGCAAAGTAAAAAAAAAAAAAAAAAAAAAAAAAATTGGAGGCAGGAGTTCATTATGTACCCTTGAATGGCATGAAGTCTGCTCTGTATGTAAACCAGTCTGGCCTCAAACTCACAGAGATAGGCCTACCTCTACTTCTCAGTGCTGGGATTAAAGGCATCTTCCATGCAGAATTTGTATATCCAAGATAATCTTAGTGCACCTGCCTTTGATAATTCAGCTTTCTTTTTTCAGTGTTGAGGATCTAATCCAGGGCCTCAAACATGTTGAGCCAATCCTCTGGCTCTGGGCTCCATTCTCAGTCCTTTTTGTACTTGTCTTACTTCTTAGATAGGCTTGCACTAAGTTGTCCAGGCTAGCCTTGAACTCTTTCTAGTTCACACTTGCTTAGTGGTCAGTGATTCTCAACCTGTGGGTCGTGACCCCTTTGGGGTCGCATATCAAATATTTACATTACGATTCATAACAGTAACAAAATTATAGTTATAAAGTAGCAATGAAATAACTTTATGCTTGCCGGTCACCACACGAGGAGTGGTATTAAAGGGTGACAATATTAAGAAGGGTGAGGACCCCTGATCTATATAGTCCTTATACTTATGGTCCTCCTGCCTCAGCTTCCGAAGTACCTGGGATGACAGAGATGTCATCCTGGCTGAAAATTCAACTTCTAGGGAGGAACATATCCTTTTCCAAGGTTTGCATCATTCCACTGTGTTAGGAGCAAGCATTCCAATGGGTACTAATGTGGTTCTCTCTCTCTCTGTCTCTCTCTGTCTCTCTCTGTCTCTCTCTGTCTCTCTGTCTCTCTCTCTCTCTCTCTCTCTCTCTCTCTCTCTCTCTCTCTCTGTCCCTTTTCACAAACCAAGGCAGTAGCTCAGGGCTGGGGTAACAATCCTGCTTGCAAGTCAACGTCACTCATCTTTGGCCTTTTGACAGTTTGCTTTGCCAATGGCAAAAAGCTAGAGTTTCCGCAGGGGGAGTGATCTCAAGTTTCCATCACAATAAAAGTAAATGACACTTCATACAAAACAAAGCAAAAACTGTGGGGAGGGGGAGAAGTCCAGTGAATACCCAGACGTGGCCAGCACTCCACAAGAGAGGAGAAGATGGAAACGGGCCCATCTGCATGTGGGGACCAGCAGGCTGCCTGTTCTGCTCCATACCCGGACAGATTCCGTTTCCCATGTGGTCACAAACCAGCTGCTTCAGAATCCTCAACCCATGGCTCTGTTACCCACCATGGAGTGAACAGCCTCCTACCCACACTTCCAAGCACTTCCTTCCAGACACCAGGTTCCTCCGGTCAAGGACATCTGGGGAAGTCTCTCTTGCCACATCCGTGAGCCTCTGCCATATCATAGGCCACTGTTCCCCCCTCCCCCAGCTCTTCTTGATCCTTGCAGTCCCTTTTGTACCAGTGGATGCACTGAGACCACAGGACAGCAGTTTCACAGTCAAACTGAAATGACTTCCCTGGGTAAGAGCTGAAGAATCCATGTCTGTCCTATCTTGGAGCCTGGTAGGCAGGGCCCTTCCTAAAGGTGTTATTGCCACCCATACCTTCCCACCGAGAGTCAGGATAGACTTGTCCCATGTTGAAAATCATGTCACCCTTCTCAGACAACTGCATCTGTTAATAAAATTCCTTCCGAGGGGAGAGACATATGCACATCTACCCCTTCTCCTAAGGTCCCAAGAACAAACCAAAGCTCCATTCAGCCACAGTGCACGCTGGCAAAGCAGTGAGTTTATTGGGTTTCCTTACAGAGCATAGCTGAGGGATTTCTCCCAAGGGTATGGGTGCTCCTTCCCCAACAGGCTGCACCTGGAAAGCCTTGCCTGACAAAGATTAAGGCTTCCTCACAGCCTCAAAGATGGAGCCCACTTCCCTAGTCTTCAAGGCAGGACCTAGAGCCTCTATCCCCTCCCTGGAGCCATATGCAATTAAGGCAGCACTGCGTGCAACAGGTAAGGACAGGCTGGGTTCCAAGGGTCCTAGGAGCCTCCCTACCCCCTTCATGAGGGGCTGTAAGCAGTCAACAAGCCCAGCTGGGATTGTCCCTTTGCAAGCGAGTACAGCTGAACTCCCCAAAATTGCGGTTGCTTGGCTCAGAGGACAGTCACACGTGCACCACAGTGTCCTTGTGCATATGTGTGTATCTGTGTGTGAGGTATGTGTGGGGTGTTTGCATACAGGAAGATCTGGGTGTTCTGCTCCATCCCTCTGTTTGACTTCCTTGAGCCAGGATCTCTGAACCTGGAAGTAGGCTGGAGTCCATGAAGTCCCTAAGATTCTCAAGTTTCCACTCCCCACAGAGCTGAGGTTCTAGGTCTAAGCACAACCACGCGTGGCTTTTTACTGAGGTGCTAAATATGGACCTCAAGTCTTCATGCTTGCTGAACACTCTCTGAGCCATCCCTTTAGCCCCACACTGTGCCTTTAAAGGAGTCTGAAAACAACACAGTGGCAGATGGCTACAAGGTGTTCGCAGAAGTGTGCCTCCCTTTTCCACCCGTGGGCGCTCCCACAGAGGGGGAGCATTGCCCTCCAGAGTTAACATCCACACCTCCCTCGGCTGTGGTAGAACCCACAGGCATCTCAGGGCCAACATCTGGCCAGTGCCACCATCCCTGGACGTTTCCCTACTCCCGTTCAGGAAAGAGCTGCCCAAAGACACCAGTAAAGAGAAACAAAGACACTCTGGGAGCAGCAGTGGCAGTCATGAAACACGTTTATTGGAGGGTTGTAGCCCCTCAGAGCCCAGCCAGGTGTGGGGGGGGGGGGGGCTCAAGCCAGCCTCTTGCTTATTCGCTCATAGGTCACACCACCACTGGTGAAGATCTGAAAGAAGCAACCAGAACAGAGAAAGTCAGTGCTGCTCCCCCAGACGGTGGCCTGAGGTGACTGTGGGGTGCAGGGGAAGCAAGGTCAGCCACCATTGCTTTTCCTGGGTGGATGCGAGGCAGGTGCACTGCTTTCTGGGGCTTAGATTTTCCTGTCAGTTACAGGAGCTGCTGCAGAGAAAATGCTGACCAGGAGCAAGCGAGATGGGCTGCAAGAATGTCAGCCTCTATCCTGTCACACACACACACACACACACACACACACACACACACACACACACCCTTTTAACTATTGCATGCCAGGTCCTCTTCACAATAGTCCAGCTATAGTTCTCAAGAGCCCTAGGAAGTTGCTCCCATTATGCAGAGGAGCAAACTGAGGGTTGATTCAGCCTGTGAAGATGAAGCCTCGTGGACACAAAGCTTCAAGTGTCCTACCCTCAGCTCTCTCTGCACATTGCTTTGGAAGTCGGGACCCACTGGCTGACATTTCATTCAAAGCTCTCATTCAATCTTCCAGTGGGCCAGGGTTCATCCAGAGCAGATGATAATTTTATTCTTTTCGTGGGAGGGGGGGGTGCCTGTGCCACAGTTTGCACGCGGGGGTGAGGAGACAACTTGTGGGAGTTAGTTCTCTCCATCCATCACATGGGTGGCAGGAATTGAACTTAGATGGTCAGACTTCGTAGCAAGCAATTTACCCTTTGGTTCACCTTTGTTCCAACACTGCTACATCTATTTTCTAATTCTTATTGTATCAGTTTAATAGTGTTGATTTTGGCGGTACCAAGGGTTGAACCTAGAACCTCATTCAGGTAGGCATGCAGTTTCCACTAAAATGTATGCCCTGGTCGTCCAAGTGTGTATGTGTGTGTGCGCGTGCACATGCACACACACACATGTGCATCTTGAGGGATCAGTGTCTCCCTCTAGTCCAGGCTGACCTGGAACTCAGCATCCTTCTGCTCTGGCCTTTAGAGTGTAGAGATCCCAGACATTTACCACCATGATCAGATGTATTTTAATTCTATGAGAAAGAAACATGGCAGGCTGGCAGAGACCCACTGGTCTTTGAGAAAAGGCTGAGAACTTCCTCTAAAAGTCAGCTGACACATTCTGCCTCTACAGTGTACTGGCTGCGTGACCTCAGGCAGGTTGCATGCTGTCTCTGAGCCTCATAAAGCACCTTTTTAAAGCAGAAATAATATGAGGTTGGAGAGATGGCTTAACTGTTGAGGGCACTGACTGCTCTTCCAGAGGGCCCAGGTTCAATTTCCAGCACCCACATGGCAGCTCATAACCTATCTGTAACTCCCAGATCTGACACTCACACGCAGACATGCAGGCAGGCAAAACTCCAATCCACATAAAATAAAAAATAAATAAATGATAAAACGGAAATAATAGGAAGCTCTGCAAACTTACCTCCACTAGCTTGTCACCCACGATCTCCGAGGTCTGGTAAAAGTTGGGGAAGTCTGCCACCACCTTCCCGTTCTCCAGCTTCAGAGTAGCCTGGGAGAGAGACAGAGCACTGAACACAAAGCCTCTCACCACAGCCTAATAAGTCTTTAGGCATCACTTAGGTTATTTTAAAAATAGCACATGAGCCAGGTGGTGGTGACGCATGCCTTTAATCCCAGCACTAAGGCAGCAGAGGCACTTGGGTCTACATGAGTTCAAAGCCAGCGTGAGTTCCGGAACAGCTAGGACTATTAACAGACAAACCCTGTCTCAAAAAAATAGAAAATAAATAAATAATATTCGTAGGACTGATTCGGTTGGCAGAGTGCTTGCCTACCACACACAGGGGTCTCAAAAACAAAGGGGAGGGGGAAAGTAGCTGGGGAGATGACTCAGTGGGTAAAGGGGCTGGAGTGTGGATCCTCAGCACTCATACATGACAGCGTGTACCTACAGCAGTATCCCCATACCACACCACCCTCACTGGGGAACAGAGACAGGCAGATCCCAAGGGGCTACTGGCCAGCCAGTCCAGCAGAAATGCAAAGCGCCAGGCTCGGCCAGAGATCCTGCCTCAAAAAGTAAGGTGGAGAGTGTTACAGAGGATAGAATTCTAATATGAACCTCTGGTTTTCATACACACATGCACAGCTGAGTATACATACATGTATATGTGCATACACAATAGATAGATAGATGATAGATAGATAGATAGATAGATAGATAGATAGATAGATAGAT